AATGAGGCAGAACTCAATGCGTATTATAAGATATGTGTACTCTTTTTCCTTCACTAGGCTTTTTCCCACTGGGTTTTCCTAGTAAGGTTTTAACGAGGTACATTATCCTTTAGATGGACATCCAAGGGGGAGTATTATGAATATGTTAAAGTGGATGTCCATTGAATACTCTTAGACATCCCTATTCCATGAACCATTTGAGTTCATGCACTTAGTTAATTCATCACTTAATATTTGTAACCTTTAGGTGTATTCTTGTAACTTTTCATGTATCTTATATCCTATAAATAAGGTATTCTTTATCCTATGAAGTACACAGAAGAAACATACTTGAATAAGATAACTTCTATATTCTCCTCATATACATCTTGTCTCCTTTAGTATATTGTTCTATTTTGCTCTTATTTCTTAATAGATCAATGCTATCTGCAATAATAATAAATGAGTTTATTTTAATTTTAAATGATTAAGCGATAAACGACTAATTTTTCTTTTCGTTTCTAAATTTTAAAAAGCGACAGGATTTAAAGCAACACCTGATAAAAATACAAGGGGTATTACGTGAATAGACAAAATAGAGTGTACAGAGTCTAACACAATAAAAGTTGAGGAGTGCGTCTGATAATTTCTCAACTTTTGCGCATAATTTATTGTTTGAACTTTTAATTAAACATGACGACACCAAAGAGAGAGAGAGAAGCAATCATAAGCAGAAATCATCGCCTAATATATCGCTAATTCAACTTTGTAAGGAAATTCAAAATCTCTCTATCTTTTTTTTCCTAATTTTTCTTCATCAACTTTATTTTTTTATGGTAAATTAAATATTGCACCTTTTTTTAATGTTCAAAACTTTGCAGACGGATGCTCTATTATAAGATGCAAAGGCGATCGAACCTATGAATTAATTAATTTTCCTCTTTTAAGTTTTAACCTCTCTTTTGCCTGAAGAAAATTTTCTTTTTTCTAAGGTAAATGCTTTAGCAGGCAAATCTCTATTAAGGTGGAGCCATTTTGAAATTTGAAATTTGAATTGATTACTTTTACAATTCTGTTATTTGGTTTCTCAATTTATGTGATTTTGGTTTTTTTGTATAATTGTAAGATTGTGTTATTTTTTTTGTAGCCACCAAAGAGAGAGAGAGAGAGAGAAGCAATCATAAGCAGAAATCATCGCCTAATATATCGCTAATTCAACTTTGTAAGAAAATTCAAAATCTCTCTATCTTTTTTTTCCTAATTTTTCTTCATCAACTTCATTTTTTATGGTAAATTAAATATTGCACCTTTTTTTAAAGTTCAAAACTTTGCAGACGGATACTCTATTATAAGATGCAAAGGCGATCGAACCTATAAATTAATTAATTTTCCTCTTTTAAGTTTTAACCTCTCTTTTGCCTGAAGAAATTTTTTTTTTCTAAGGTAAATGCTTTAGCAGGCAAATCTCTATTGAGGTGGAGCCATTTTGAAATTTGAAATTTGAATTGATTACTTTTACAATTCTGTTATTTGGTTTCTCAATTTATGTGATTTTGGTTTTTTTGTATAATTGTAAGATTGTGTTATTTTTTTTGTAGCCACCAAAGAGAGAGAGACAGAGAGAAGCAATCATAAGCAGAAATCATCGCCTAATATATCGCTAATTCAACTTTGTAAGGAAATTCAAAATCTCTCTATCTTTTTTTTTCCTAATTTTTCTTCATCAACTTCATTTTTTTATGGTAAATTAAATATTGCACCTTTTTTTAATTTTCAAAAATTTGCAGACGGATGCTCTATTATAAGATGCAAAGGCGATCGAACCTATGAATTAATTAATTTTCCTCTTTTAAGTTTTAACCTCTCTTTTGCTTGAAGAAAATTTTCTTTTTTCTAAGGTAAATGCTTTAGCAGGCAAATCTCTATTAAGGTGAAGCCATTTTGAAATTTGAAATTTGAATTGATTACTTTTACAATTCTGTTATTTGGTTTCTCAATTTATGTGATTTTGGTTTTTTGTATAATTGTAAGATTGTGTTTTTTTTTTGTAGCCACCAAAGAGAGAGAGAGAGAGAGAGAGAGAGAGAGAGAAGCAATCATAAGCAGAAATCATCGCCTAATATATCGCTAATTCAACTTTGTAAGGAAATTCAAAATATCTCTATCTTTTTTTTCCTAATTTTTCTTCATCAACTTCATTTTTTATGGTAAATTAAATATTGCACCTTTTTTTAATATTCAAAACTTTGCAGACGGATGCTCTATTATAAGATGGAAAGGCGATCGAACCTATGAATTAATTAATTTTCCTCTTTTAAGTTTTAACCTCTCTTTTGCCTGAAGAAAATTTTCTTTTTTCTAAGGTAAATGCTTTAGCAGGCAAATCTCTATTAAGGTGGAGCCATTTTGAAATTTGAAATTTGAATTGATTACTTTTACAATTCTGATATTTGGTTTCTCAATTTATGTGATTTTGTTTTTTTTGTATAATTGTAAGATTGTGTTATTTTTTTTGTACCCACCAAAGAGAGAGAGAGAGAAGCAATCATAAGCAGAAATCATCGCCTAATATATCGCTAATTCAACTTTGTAAGGAAATTCAAAATCTCTCTATCTTTTTTTTCCTAATTTTTCTTTATCAACTTTATTTTTTTATGGTAAATTAAATATTGCACCTTTTTTTAATGTTCAAAACTTTGCAGACGGATGCTCTATTATAAGATGCAAAGGCGATCGAACCTATGAATTAATTAATTTTCCTCTTTTAAGTTTTAACCTCTCTTTTGCCTGAAGAAAATTTTCTTTTTTCTAAGGTAAATGCTTTAGCAGGCAAATCTCTATTAAGGTGGAGCCATTTTGAAATTTAAAATTTGAATTGATTACTTTTACAATTCTGTTATTTGGTTTCTCAATTTATGTGATTTTGGTTTTTTGTATAATTGTAAGATTGTGTTATTTTTTTTGTAGCTTCCATTGACAAGAATGATGTGGAAAGTGGATTCTAAGAAGAAAATTGGTGCAAATTCTGGAAATGAGAAATTGTTGAATGATATTGAAGCTATAAATAAAGCTCTATATTTGGATAAAACCCATTTATTGGATTCAAAATCAAAGAATAAAGGAAATAATAAAGATTCAATAGAGAAGGAGAGTAAGAAATCCATATGGAGTTGGAAGGGCCTAAAATCTTTGGCTGCTAGAAACAAAAAGTTTAATTGTTGTTTTTCTATATCCAAATAACATAAAGAAATCAAATTTTCATAAATGTACTTTTCTTTTTAAAATTTGTTTTCTCTACCAAAGTCATGTCTTAGATCCAAACAGAGCTTAAGTAAATCGAAAATTGATTAGAAACCATTGGCGCTGAAATTTGAATATATTGGCTGGGCCACGTTGGAAAAAAGCAAAACAAATCTGTCCACGTTTGATAAGCATAGGCTCCCCCTTGTTGAAAAAGGTTCATCATTGTCTAATCATAGGTGGGAAAGGAGCAAAGAAAATTAAATGTTACAAAAGGTTAAATATTTAATTTAAGAAAATTAGGAAATACAGTATTTTACTTTATCAATGCTTTTTACGATGGAATTCGTCAATGTTATACTAGGGGTGTCAAATGCATATTTGAAAACCGACTAAACCGACCGAACCGTACCGTATCGAACCAACTTTTAGGTTTCTATTAATAAAACCATACGTTTTTATATAAATCTACACCAATAATTAGGGTAGATTTTTTATTTTATGAAAATAAATCGAAAAAATACGAAGCGTATCGAATAGATTACATGTGAAAAATATATATGTTAAGATTAAAAATAATAATTAAACTTTATGCTGTTGTAGAGTAGTTGATGGATCTACACTCTGACCATCTTTCATGTTTTCTTAATTCATCACCATTTAAACAGTAAAATTATCTAAATTTTTTTGCTAAGTCTTATAAAAATATGTATGTTATGACATTCTACTTTTACTAGTAATTTTGGTGTGATTATATCATAAATTAATGATAAGTTAGGTACAAAAAAAAAAGCAATTAAAAAATGGAAGGTAAACCGAACGAGCATTTTCTCCAACTTCCAATGCTTAAAATTGAAGAACAGTCAAATTCGATATTTTGCATTAATTCGCTTTCTCCCTCATATGTTCAAAATATTTCTTTCTTTATCTTTTGCTTTTTCTTTCCAAACCAAAGTTTTTTTCTTTACCTTTTGCCTGTTTTACTATCTTTTTTAAAAGGAAGTAAATTTTTTGATGAAGAATATACCATGAATATGGTGATAAATTCAAGTTGATCTTCCTCACGTATGTATAGCAAGAGAATTAAGTATTTTCCAAATAAAACTTGACACACTAAGAGCTATTATTTATTACTTTTCTCTAATTAAGTTGAATATAGTTTTCGTTTTTTACTTAAACAATTAACACATTTAATTAATTTGCTAGCATATAGAGTTAAGGATGACAAACAAATAAGAAACTATGTGATGTTATTAATTACTGTGAGCACCTAATTTTTGCCATAATACAAAATTACTCCTAAAAAAAAAAAATCCAAAAAATAGCTTTAAATTCTTTTTCTATATTTTTACTTAGTTTGCTTTGTACGTATTCATGTTTGATGCATTTTTAAGTTGCATTTTAAATCCTAAAGAAAATACAAAAATATTTTTTTATTTTTTACATTTTTTAGATTTTAATTGCATAATCAATTGCATTTGTAAAACACTAAAATACCAAAAAATACATTAGTAACTCTACATGCATTTGTTAGCTAAATGAATTAATAGTTATAGAAAAATAGGTTATTAGGTTAATTTTATAAATTAGTTGGAATTAGGAGTGTTAAATAAATTGATTAGTCTTGCAAAATACAAAGAAAGAAAAGAGTAGGCTATTGGGTATTTAATATCGTTCGGGCCATTTAATTCTGTCCGCCCCAGCCCTCTATCCAATACTCGGTCCAAATCCTTACCTCTGAGACCATGAAACGACGTAGTATCACCCCAGTAACACCTAAATCTAAGATATACAACACACTTTCTGGTAGCCACCAAAGAGAGAGAGAGAAGCAATCATAAGCAGAAATCATGGCCTAATGTATCGCTAATTCAACTTTGTAAGAAAATTCAAGATCTCTCTATCCTTCTTTTCCTAATTTTTCTTCATCAACTTCATTTTTTTATGGTAAATTAAATATTGCACTTTTTTTTAATGTTCAAAACTTTGCAGACGGATGCTCTATTATAAGATGCAAAGGTGATCGAACCTATGAATTATTAATTTTCCTCTTTTAAGTTTTAACCTCTCTTTTGCCTGAAGAAAATTTTCTTTTTTCTAAGGTAAATGCTTTAGCAGGCAAATCTCTATTAAGGTGGAGCCATTTTGAAATTTGAAATTTGAATTGATTACTTTTATAATTCTGTTATTTGGTTTCTCAATTTATGTGATTTTGGTTTTTTGTATAATTATAAGATTGTGTTATTTTTTTTGTAGCTTCCATTGACAAGAATGATGTGGAAAGTGGATTTTAAGAAGAAAATTGGTGCAAATTCTGGAAAGGAGAAATTGTTGAATGATATTGAAGCTATAAATAAAGCTCTATATTTGGATAAAACCCATTTATTGGATTCAAAATCGAAGAATAAAGGAAATAATAAAGATTCAATAGAGAAGGAGAATAAGAAATCTATTTGGAGTTGGAAGGGCCTAAAATCTTTGGCTGCTAGAAACAAAAAGTTTAATTGTTGTTTTTCTGTGCATCGGAAGAGGAGAGATGGCGAGTTGACGACTCGTCCAGTTGTGGTTTCTCAAGGGGTAGCTGAGTTTGAGGAACAGTTGACTCATACTTGTTCTATATCTGGTGGCAAAAATGGCCCCAATCAATCAGCAAAGTACGAGGCGAAACATTTCTTGTTGTATGCTTCGATATATGGTACTCCCGAGCTTGATTTGGGGAAGCATCGGGTTGATCTTACCAGGTTGCTTCCTCTTTCATTAGATGAATTGGAGGAGAATAGCTCGGGGAAGTGGATGACTAGTTTCAGGTTAGCAGGTAAGGCTAAAGGAGCAATCTTGTATGTCAGTTTTGAGTATCACATAGTTAGGAACACTTTCACGGTTCCCACTAACAGGGTTCTTATCGAGGGGAAGAACTTGAGGCGCAATAGTGAAAATGCAGCAAAACTTTTGGCACAATGTGAGCAATGTGATGAGCTGAGTACGATAAGACGAACAGGAAGCCTTACTGCTCGATCTTCTACTTCACAGCGTTCCGCTGAGAATATAAAAGATCTTCATGAGGTTTTACCAGTTCCGTCATCTGAAGTGTCCGTATCTGTAAATGTGCTGTATCAGAAACTTGAGGAAGAGAAAGTGGAAGCTTCAGTTGATTGCAAACCACAGATTGATGTTTTCTATAATGATGTTGAGACCATAAAACATGACTTAGCCTTGTCATCAGAGCCCGGGAAGGGNAGAAGGGAAATGTTGAAAATGGGGGTGGCATAAGTGAGGTTTCTATAAGAGAGCAACGTGTAGAAGTTGCCTCAAACGAATGGGAGGGAAAAGAAGAAGATACCATGAAAACTGGTGATAGTCCTTTGGAAGAGAATGTTTTTGAACCTGAGATTGAAGACCTTTCTCAGCTTGCACCGTTTGCCAAGGAAGTCGACACTGAGA